GTTATGCTGCTTCTTTTAGGTTCTAGGAAAATTAGTTTTGTTGAAAATGTTTTTAATATTATTTCATGAAAAATAATTTGATCAACAAAAAAATATAATTTAATAAAAAAAATAATACCTTTCGGAATTAAAACAAACGTAACATATTTTTTGTAAAATAATTTATTATAAATAAATATGATTTTTAAATCATAATTTAACTTAAAATAAATAAATTATAATATATTTAATTTCAAACTATTTATATACTATTATTTTAATATTATTAAGTATCCTTGTTTATAATATTAAATTCTTATTTGCTAATATATAATAAATTTTTAATATAATTATTTTTATAAAAATATTGTTTCATATTATATTAGTATTTACTTGTTTAAAAATATTATTAATAATAAATACACTTTGTAATATTTCAATTTCAAAAATTGTAATTTTTTTATTTTAATAGTTATTATATTGACATAAATCATATTTACTAATTAAATTTAATACTCGTCTCATTAAATTTATCTATTGTTGACTTTTTTAGTCAATTTTTTTTAACTTTGGTCCATTATTATGTAGAATTTGTTTATTGATAAAAATATGAAAATTATATTTTAAAAACCTTAAATAGGTTCCTAAACTATATTTTGACTCATCCAAATATCAGATTGTGACACGTATCACTTAATAGGGGAAATTAACATCGTTGAGGATTCGAGCACCTAAATGGGTAACGTTTGTAACATCAGACACTTAGATGAGTCAAAAAATAGTTTAGGCACGTATTTGGGGAAAACGTTATAGTTTGGACACTTATTTTGGTATCAAGCATTTTAAAAGTCAATGCTAAACCCATTTAGTGAAACGGAGGCAATAATAATTAATATTATTGACATGATAATGCTAAAATCTATAATATTTGTAAAAAAAATAATATATTTTTTCAAATGATAAACTACAGAGTTGATCATTTCATTTTCATAAACGTATGGTCACTAGATCCAAAAAATATAATTCATAGTCACTTTTATTTTTTTTAGTTAAGATGTGGTCACTGAAACGTTGACTTCAGATAGTTTGATGACATGACACGTTAATAAAAGGGTTTAATTTTTACTTTAACCCTTAAATTTTAGATAAAATACTAATTATGGATCATTTTATAAATTCAAAGTAATTTAGGGACAAAATTCTAATTTACTCCTTTTTTATATGTTTTCTTCCCCAACGTGAAACAATGTCGATCATCATGAAAAACACCATGAAGGGTCGTCGGATTTCTAGATCTTTCATTGTTGTTTTCTGACGATTTCGACAACTACAACCGTCTGTACGTTACACGACGCATCACCATTAAGCCCGACCAATTGTGGCCCTTCGTCGTCGGCAGTGTGAGATGGGAGGGAGAGGAATGGCTCGGGTGGGGAGGTTTGATTTTTTTTAATTTTTTCTTTTTGAAAAAATAATATTTTTATTATTAAAAAATTTTAAAAAAATAATGATAGATACCTAAAAGTGTAACGGAGAAAACTATAGGCAACTAAAAGTGTAACAGATAATACTTTAGACATCTATTGTTAACAAAAAATTCTTTAGACACCAAATCATATTTTGAGGAATAATTTAGGGGGTAAAAAGTGTATTAAGCCAATATTAAAACTTGTATTATTAAATTTTAAAAATATAATAAAAATTTGTTTCAAATTATAAAAAAATAAAAGTTAAATCTTTTAAATAAAATTAATAATTTTAATTTTAATACTATCAACAAAATAAGTTGGATTAAAAGATTTATTCTCATAATAAATTTCTATGATACCTAATTCGAATTAATTAATAGATTAATCAACCTAAACCCTACATTAATCCAAGATGTTGAAGTGTTAATAACGATAGAAACATGATTGACCATGGATGGAACCATAGGAAGGTGTGGGTCTCTCTATAATTTTTAAGTTATTTTATATTTTAAATTTTGTATGTCTATTTAGTATTAATAATTTATTTTCGTTATTAAAATTTGATGAGTTCGTCCCTTATAATAAAATATTATGCACGTCCCAATGTGTGATGGTTTAAATATATAAATGATTACTGAACTCATCGAGTGACCTCAATGATTAAAATAAATGTTATTATCTCTTAAAATCTTGAATTCGGACAACTACACCTGAAACATAAATATACTTTAGCAATGATTAAAAAATATAAAAATAAATATCACATTGTAAGCCCCTAAAAATATTATTTTTTATAATGATTACTAATGATATTTTAGACAACAAAGGGCAATAACATAGGGTTGGTGTAGTAATAATGAAACAAGATCAGCCTGTGTAAGAAAAAGGACAAGGTTTACTAACATACATGGAACCTAAGTTTAATAATTGTGTTAAATGATTATTTTTCATGTACCTAAATTTATTTTATCAAATACATTTTTATATGAAACATTTCCTTTAAATTTTTAGTGGATACTTTTTAAATGCCTAATTAAATATGGTGTTTTAATTTGAAACCGGTCATAATAATTTAAGAATATTTATTTTTAAATATAGTACTATTCTATCTTGTCATTCAATTACTTAATTTATTTATCTTTAATTATTTATTTTTTCCCCTTAATTTTTATTCTTTGACGCTGAGGAGAACGTGCCCAAGTAGGGATGGGCAGGACCCGAATTCGACCCGATCTGATCAAGTCGGATTTTTAAAAAAAATCGGATTCGGGTTGGGTTTAGGTTTAGGATGAAAAATATCCAACCCGAAAAAATATATAATTTTATCTTATAATTTTATGAATAATTACAATAATACCCCTCTATATATAATTTTTTTCAATTAAGTTATTATTTTTATTGAATAAATATAATATTTTTATTATTATTTCGGGTCGGGTCGGTCTGATTTCTAAGTTATATGTCGGGTCAGATTCGGATCGAATGAAATTTTGTTTTGGTCGGATCAGGTCAAGCCTCGGATGAAGGATCATTTATTCTCGGGTTGGGTCGGGTGGACCAAAAACCCGACCCGACCTATGCCCAAGGCTTTGTGACGAAAAATGAGAAGGACTAGGCAAAGGCAAGTGCACTTTCCCACCTTAATACTAAATTACTAAACGATTAAACAAAAAAAACCAGTTAAGAAGGAAGATTAGCCTGTGATTATTGATTAATTAATTATTAATCGGACTAGAAAAGTAAGAGTTGTCAGACCAAGAATTGCCTAACACGTGTTTTCAGTCCTGGCATGCCCCAAACATGTAATAAAAGAACATTAAAAGTGGGGGTTACAAATCGATTAAATTATAAGATGTCAATTGATTAATTGACTTCTTCAAGCCATCCTTCTTTGTTCCGTTTGATTTCAACACACCACCGCCATGGCGTTACGTGCCTTTCAACGTAGCTTTTGTGGGAAAATAAAAAATTTAATGGTTAAAAGAATTACCGTTATTTTTAGAGTTTATGAATTTAAACACTAATTAATATAATAAGATGATTGAAAATTAATTATCAAATAATTAAAAATATTTAAAATATATATTATTTTATAATCATTTTCGTTACTAAAAAAATGAGTTGGGTTTTGAGAATTGCTTTCGGTCGCGTTCGTTAGCTTTATAACTTTTGTTTATGTCAAAATTAACTTACTGGAATTATTACTTTCAATCTTCGTTAGAAAATTTACTGTTTGCATTATTCTTCAATTATTGTTTTAGGATTATTGAAAATGAGGAAAAATTAAAGATTGCGATTAATTTTTTATTTTTTTCTTAAGTGAATATCTTCTTATTTTCTATTATTAATGTCAAATTTCATTTCTCGTCATCTAACGATCTTAAAAATGCAAAACTTTTTTATCATTATTTAAATAAATATTTCTTTAACTCACAATAAATAATATTTTTTTAGAATTAGAGCTTAAGATTTAAGATTTAGGGTTTAAAATTTATGATTTATGTTTATGATTTAAGATTTTATGATTTAGGGTTTAAAATTAAGATAAAAACAAAAATTATTTTACCATAGATTAAATATTTGTTTGTAAGTAATAAATTTTAATTAAATTTAAGACATTTATTTGTTTAAATCTATGATTATAAAGTAGTGTAGAATATATATATATATATATATATATATATAAGTTGTCAGTTTTAACAGATGATTTTTTTCCTTTTAGTTGGTACTGTTGAAATTATAGGACTATAGTAAGGGTAGAGTTGGTAGAGTGAGTGGTGCCCATGGCATTTTCCCCAAATCCGCTGGCCGGACGCTGGATTGAATTCCAAAAAGGAAAAACAATTTGCGTCTAAATACGCGCCTGTGGATGGTTAGGTCTAACGTCTTTAACGCTTCTCCAACTCCCTCTTTAGCCCCTCCACTTTCTCATTTACCATTTACTCCCCCACCCACTTTCTTAAAATAATAATAATAGATTTATTTATTATATGCTAAGTTTGAAAGTATATTAATTTTAAATTTAACTGTGAATTTTATTTATTAATCGATTAGATTAGAAAGTTATTCTTATAATATTTTTTACAACAAGGATGTACCAAATGAAGACAAATAAGTGTTCTTTTAAAAATTTTGTATATTTTTTATTGATGGTCTATTTTCGTTTTTTAAATTTTTATAAATACCCCCATCCTAAAATTATATATGTTTAACGATAGATGAATTTTAAAAGAATTATTATAGTAATTTAAAATATAAATAATTAAAAACATGTGATATTTGTAATTAATTGATTTTATTTTAAATCCTATTTATAAATAACACATTAACAAAAAATTTATATTTTTTTAAGAAAAAGGTGGGGAAAAAAGAAGAGAATAACAACGACCTCTGAGCCGCAACTAATAACAATAAAAGAGACAAAAAGTAAATAAATAAAAGTATAGGGGTAGATCCGTCAACCAAGAATTTGAAATACCAGACCGTCAAGTTTTTATAACCCCCGATCCCTTTCCCCTTACCCTATAAATACATGGCTCGAGTAAAGCTAGGTTTGCCCAACTGAACAGCCAAACACGGCTCTTTGGAAATTCGAAAAAAAAGCTCTTTTCTTTCTTCCTAATCTTTCTTCAGCTTAATAGAAAATGGCGGCTTCTTCTAGAAGATCTAGCGGACCTGTTCTCCGTTCTCACTCTCCGTCGTCTTCTTCGTCCGCTTTTGCCTATTCGAGTTCAGGTTTCTCTTCTCGCTCCTCGACTTTCTTCAATCAACATAGATCTATTTCTCCGCGGCGTGTCAATCTCTGCAATAAAACTCCGTCGTCGTCGTCGTCCGTGCGGTTCTCGCTTGATAACCGTCCGATCTCGCCGAACCGTTCGATTACCACCGTCCGAAGAAACACGGAGGCGTTGAAGAATTTACAGAGCAAACAGCCGAAGCGGACTTGTATGTGTTCGCCTACAACGCATCCCGGTTCGTTCCGTTGCAGTCTTCATAAGAGCTTCGGTAACTCGCACTCTGGATCGAGTTACGCGCCGAGCAATCGGCTTAACGCGCGTAGATCTGCGATGACGAACTCGCTGGTGAGAATCGGCGGTGTCGAAGGAGATCTGGTCAGGAGAGCTTTGTCGGCTTTGATTAGACCTTCCTCTCACCAGCAGCGTCGCCGTTCTGCTTTCCAGCCTAGACCTAGCCGGCTCTCCGTCATGTCAAAAGCCGAGGATCTATAAAGATTTCGCATGCGGTTTGTAATATCTTAACGCTTATAGGTCAAGTCTCCGAGATTTTCCGGTGATTTGAGATCGAGCTTCGGCGTTACTCCGGCCGGTGGCGATGAAGTTATATTCCGACGAGGAGTTTGGTGATCTGGACGGAGGATTCGAGTTCAAGTATTCTCCGGGTGATCGAAACGCAAAATCCGAGGAACGGATTATCATATAGTTTGTTGGTGTGTAAATACACTCATATTGCAGCCTATGGCAAATTTGAGGAGCTTTTGGACTGAAAAACTAACTCTTAAAATCTCTTGAAATCACTAATCTAATCTAATTAAATCTGCCCAAACTGACTCCAATCTAAAAATTTCCATTCCCGATCTCCAGTTTGTCTCGTCTTCGAGTTTTTCTCCATTTGATTTGTTCTCCAAACCAATTTCATTCCATTCGGTTGCAGTTCTTTTCTCTTCCGTGATCGTTTTTCCTTCGAGGTTTTCCGTTCCATCAGTTTCTTCCGTTTGTTTCATTTACCCTTTCCGTTCATCTATTTTTCATCGTGATTTGATTTGATTGATTCTTTGTAATTCATTTTGATCTTATTCTTTTTATGTTTTGCAGGAACTGGAGTACACGGATTTTACTTGGACAGGAGGATAATATGACTGAATTTTCGACCTTGAAGTCGAAAAAACCCTAGCATTGGAGAAGAATATGAAATGACAATACTGGATTTTGGACCCTTAATGGAAAATTAAGAGAAAAGTATAACTAGTAAAATACAGATATCAGATCATATTAATTAGACTTAATTGATGCGTAAGGTAGTAGTTAGACGGAGCCTTGCCTTGTCAACTAAGTTTCAAATTAAATATACTAATTAATTATTATGACATTTTTCTTTTATATTTAAGCCCACGAGACGCGCAATTATTTATTAATAATGAGAAAGTGACAAGTAAGAGAGTTGAATCTGCAATTTAAAAAGAGTGTATTGTTGATCAACCCATGACTAAATATATAATCAAGCCCACAAAACGTCCCCTACCTCCTAATCCCTATGCAACGCCATTAGAGAAAATCAATACCTTCACAACATTTTCATTTAACCACGCTAAGGTTACACGTTAAACCGCAAGATTTTATATTAAAAGATAAATTCATATAAAATTTTATATCAAATTTTTAATTAAAAAATAAAATATAAATAATTTAAATTTTTTAGTGAGCGATGGCCTTCATTCTATAGTAAACGGGCGGGACGGGTGCGGATACTCATTCCCTATTCTCATATCTATCTAATATTTTTAAATCTACCACTCGTCCACCACTAATGATGGGTAAAATTTTTTTAAATCTACACCCATTGACGCGGGTACATTCTCAAATTCATCCTTACACCCACTGCCCAACTAGAGACATACCCGACTAGATCTGCCTGATAGCAACCTTAAGTTATACATAAGCAGCAAATATAAAACAAACACGTCCATTAAAAATATAATAAAATAAATCAATGATTATCTGAGTTAAGTGTTAACATATATCTTAAAGTTCATAAAACATCATAATAAAAGACATAATTAAAGCCTAGAAACATAAATGACAAACACATAATATTTTTGTTCATTGACACACATAATGACAAATCCTAAAATTATAACTAAATTTATAATGGTCCAAAATTTAATGAGTATTTAGTGGCGGGCAGATACGGGGCGGGCAAGGTCTCAAACCCATCACCGCCCACTATCTACGACGGGTATCACTTTCTAATCTACATCCGCCCACCACTCACTAAAATTATACCCATCCCCACCCTAATTAAAATGGGTATGAAACAAAATCCATAAAATTATACACGTTTGTTATCCCTACTTTATTTATCCTTCATTTTGCTACATGCTTTAGTATTAGGCCCTGTTTAGTGCTTAACATTAGTTTCAGAAAGTGATTCTCGAGTTAAAATAATTTTTTAGTCGATAATATTAAACAGATTTTTTTTTTAAAAAATGTATATTTTGATGGCAAAATGATGAGATAATGTAAATGAGATTTTTTTAATTCTCAATAATTTAATTTGGAGATTATTTCTCCATTTAGGGTAAATGACACAGTATCAACATAAAGATATTAGATACACCACGTCTCTTCAAGTTAAATATGAAGATTCTACGATTGCATCGCGTCTTCAGGTAAATGAAGAAGACCTAACGAGTGCATGACGTCTTCAGGCAAATAGAGAAGATTCCAGGAGTGCACGGCGACTTCAGACCAATAAAAAACCCTAATTCAAAAAATAATATGGTAGATACTTTATATGGAAAATATTTTTTCCCACAATCTTATATGCGCGAGGAAGTCATATTTTGATTAGTATTTTTAATTTAAATGTAAAAGTTAAAATTTTTAATTTTTGTATGTGAAAAATGTACTTGGTTTTAAATCACAATTTTAATTTTATTCTGTTATTTTATAATATTTTTATTCTATAATTATGAATTTATATTCTTTTACTAAGAGATAATTATATGATTAATAACTTAATTTTATATTTAAAAATTTTATATCATATAATGTAAATTTATAAGTTGTTGAGCTTGCAGGTGGTTTTCAGAACTTAAAATCGAGTTCCCATTGCCATCGGCTTTAGAATTATAACTGGTAAATGACATAGTCATAATTAAATATTGGTATGAGTTAAAATATTAGATTATTTAAGAAAATATAAAGAGTTACTATATATTTAACTTAAAATTCAGCATGAACCAAGCGATCTTATTGATTAAGGAATTATTATTATCTTTGAGGTCTCGAATTCAAGTACGTATGTAGGGATATGGGCGTTCATTGTCAAATGATTAAAAGTCTTTGTACAAATATTATTTTGTATTCACCCTAAATTAAAATAAAAACTCAAAACTTAGAAGACAACTTATAATTTGTCTAATATTTAAACTTATAATGACTTAATCGTAATTAGGCCAAAAATTTAAGAACACAAACTTATTATTCTTTAATTCGACCCTACTTATTTGAATATTTAATAAATTTTTATATTGTTAAATTTAAATATTTAATTTATATGAATCAAATATTATTAAATTAAATTATATCAAATATACAATTTTAATAAAAATCAGATCTTTTTGGACGTTAAGAGAGCTCCGTCCTTTGCCTGTAAAGGAAGGCAATGTTTTTTTGATGGTAGCATCATCCTTGGGGTTTTGTCATTGTCATTGCGCTCCAAACCCCACAACTGGATAAGAGCGTCAAACCCCAGTTGGATTCCATTTGCCGATCGTTAGTTTTCGGATTTATATTTTATAATAAATTTGAAAATATAGTGGGCGGAAATAGAATTAATAAAACGCAGTCGTTGAATTTTAAGTCATGAAATTTTATATTATCATGTCGACGTGATGAGTTTTATAAAACTCGTTGTGTGAGATGAACAAAAATATATATAATTCTTCATGTTAACACAATTAAATTTTAATTATTTATTATATTTTATAAAATTTATTATTTTTACTTGAAAAATGGAAAAGGAGGGCAATTCACATCCCCACATGGAATAACAAAAATGTTCATAAATTGGGCTATAGCTGGTCACCATGTGGGTCCATCATTCATTATCAAATCAATTTTTCCATTGGGGTCTCATAATCAACCTTATCTCTTGCCCCCACACCCTTAACCGAAAATAAGAAAAGATATTAGATGAATTTGACTCGTTATAACTGAACGTTCATCGAACTATTCATGAATCGTGCGATGGGAAGTTCGTTTATGTGCGTTTATTTATTAAATGGACGAACATGAATAAGATTTTTATTCGTTTTATTAAATGAACGAACATGAACACATGTCTCGTTCGTTCATTTACGTTTGTTCGGTTATGTTCGTTTATGTTCGTTCGGTTATGTTCATTTATGTTCATTCATTTATGTTTAACCCCAATTTTTTTTAAATCAATTTTGGTGACTAATTTGTAAGTATCTTAAAATATTAATTAATATGATATTCTGTGATCACTAATTAACCCAATTTTATTTGGAGATTAAATTCAATATGTTAACCCGTGAGGCACCTCGCACCTATATTCATTTTCCCTTTTTTTTTCCAAACCCTAGTGTTCACTGGAGAGTGGAGACAATCGTTGAAAGCTCAAAAACAAGTTATATTATAGTGCAATCTAAAGTTTTACAGGTCTGTTTTTATCTCTTTCTCTGTTTTATTGGCTTAATAGTTTATGTAAGTTATTGCGGGTATTTTACATCTAAAACTCAAGAAAACATCATACTTCTTTCTATAATAAATGTGAAGATAAAGTACAATCAAAAGTTATGAGCATCAGTAAAGAGAAAAATATATAGAATTTGCCAGAAAAAAAACAAATGTTTCTATGCAATTTCTGAAAAAGAGTATACTAAGAGTAACCAATTAATAAGTAAAAATACACTTTGACAATGAACTTTTGTTTTCATAGTTCTTGTGTGACCTTTAGTTGTGGAGTAGACTTTAGGTACGTTAAAATTTTGAATGGTGGTTTAGCAATAATATCAGTTACGATATGTAACATCAAAGGATTCTCTATGTTATTTCCTTGTAGTCCAATTTGTACCGTTCGAAATCTTCATGCTGTTAATTTTCTACTCTGCCAACGAAAATGACCATTATTAACAAACCTTACTAAATTGACATTGATGTCACAAAACTTTTAGCCGGTGAATTTATTATAATAATGTAGTGGAAAATGATTGTTCATATGTAATCATGGACCACTAAGATAAATGTTTAGCGTTAAATTAAAGTCGTGCGAATCATTTAATATCTTTAAAAGATAGATTGAAATATTTGATATCTTCAAACATTTCATCACTGCTAATCAGCTCTTACTCTATTTATCACTGTAGAATTGGTTGATTTGCATTGTCGACTATTTTTCATGAAAGAACAATAGAAGGTAGGTCTCCAACGTTTATGTTCGTTTATGTTCGTGTTCATTTATGTTCGTGTTCGTTTATGTTTGTGATCGTTTATGTTTGTGTTCGTTTATATTCGTTTATTTATTAAATGAACGACATGAACAAGTTATATTCCTTAATAAACGAACATGAACAAAAAAAATTTGTTCGTTTTGTTCGTTTATTTATTAAATGAACGAACATGAATACCTCCGTTCGTGTGCGTTCGGTTCGTTTACATGCCTAGTTATAGTTTTTGTGTTTTTAGTTAATAAAATTTAATTATCTCATTTTTTATTGATGAATTTTTACTTATTTTTTATGTGTAAATAGAGAACGAATAATTTTTAAAGTCATTTTAAAATAATAGAT